AATGAAAATTAGGCCTTGACTTATTTTTTCATTTATCTAATTTAATCCATATACAATTTATAAAAATTAAATAGTATAGTAATTAAAAGATACCTTGTGTGATATATTGTTTTAAACAGCGTTTATTAAACTTTAATTTAATGTATAATTTAATAATATACGTTACGTATAACCCGTGAAAAAATTACGGCAAACCTAATCAAATGATAATCACTTATTTTGCAACATTCGTACATGCGGCAAAATTATGTTGGATTGCGTATGGGAGTTTACAAGCTAGATTAAACTTATTATTAAAACAATATTATTAATTTTAATTGTAATATTGATTATAAATATTGTATTATAATCAGAAATTTATTTATTGAACCCCCAAAGTGGTCCCGGTGCAAACAGTGGCCAACTTATAAACTCCGGTGATTTCATGTATGTCTTAATTATCAGCAAACTCTCAAAACGGATCATGAATTCAACCAAATTCTTTTACTTAATAAATGTCTTAGGGCTGAACTCCCGGAGCTAGTCCATTTTCTCATACGCCCAGAAATCTACATAATTAATGTGATTACCGGTAAACCACTGACGGGTACCCAAAAACCGGGACAACGCGTCCAACTGTTGGGGCAGAGTGTCGGCCATGATGTACTTGCTATCCATAACCTCTATTATGATTCAATTATATAATTTATTGCTATTTAATTAATAATTATCTTTTGCTTTATATTTACCATATGTTTTGCTATATGTATAAAATGAAAATTTTTATGTACGAACCTCAAAACAAGCATTGAAATACAATTCTACAATAAATTGTAATGTTTTGATTTATTTAATAAAATTGAAGTATTGTTTACTATATAGTTAGCATAATCCGATAAATCTACACAACAATTAAAGTAATTACACCATAAATAAATTAAAATTTTTAATAATATCAAAAATATTATTAATTGATAAAAATATTTATTATTAACAAATTTTTTAGAGACGTCATTGTATTGGAACAAAAAACAACCATGTTTAACCTTAATCTACTCCAACAATTAAACACCATAAGTCAATCAATACCTCTGTCATTGGTAGCCACTGCAGGACAGGTGCGATTCATGTCATTACTACCCGCTGTTATGTTCACCATATTTCAAAACCAATATAACCACATCGCATACCTACAGACAACTCACGAAACAGAGTACGATTACGTGATCGTCGGTGCGGGAAGTGCGGGCTCAGTGATGGCCGCTCGGCTTTCTGAAGACCCAAATGTGACAGTTCTATTGCTGGAGGCCGGGGGTCCGGAAACTACCCTTTCAGACATCCCAATAAATTGGATTAACCTATTGAATGGACCGATGGACTGGTCATTTCGCACATTACCCCAGACTCGTGCCTATCAGGGTATGACAGGTGAGCAGGGTGTGTGGCGAGGGGGCAAAGCTATGGGTGGGTCGTCAACCATAAACGCCATGACTTATATTCGAGGCAACCCCAGGGACTACGATCTGTGGGCGGCGGCCGGTGCGTTGGGCTGGTCGTGGCCCGAAGTGTTTCCCTATTTTATCAAGTCCGAAGACAATCGGGACCCCGAAATGGTGGCCAGCGGGTATCATGGTAGGGGCGGTCCTCTAACGGTGACAACTCCGCCAATGATACACCAGGCCTTTCTTAGCGCCGGTGCCGCACTAGGATACCCACCCGGTGACCCGAACGGCCCACAACAGTCCCGGTTTGCTTTACCACAAACAACTATTAGAGATGGCCAACGATTGTCCGCAGCCAAGGCCTATCTCGAGCCTCTGGCGGGCCGTAAGAATTTACACGTGCTGACTAAATCATATGTGACCAGGGTGTTGTTTGATGGTGATAAACGCGCAGTGGGTGTGGAGTTTGATCGCATGTCTCATAATTATACAACGAAGGCCAGGAAGGAAGTGATTGTGTCAGCCGGTGCTGTCAATTCGCCAAAAATACTCATGTTATCAGGTGATAATGAGCATGTATATATTTTTATTTATGTTGTTATATACGAATATAAATTTAATTTATTAGTATTAAAACAATTTATTGTTTAGGCATAGGGCCAGAGAATCACCTGAAATCGCTGGGAATACCAGTACTGTCGGACCGCCCGGTGGGCGACAATTTCCAGGACCACTACAGCACACGTATGCCGTTTACGGTGAACGAGTCAATTGGCATATATATGCTCCGGGAAGCCACACCCGGTCACATACTCGAGTATTTTGCCAACAAAAATAATTCACTAACAACCAACTATATTGTAGCTACAGCGTTTTTATCTACAAAACATGCGCTGCCCGGTGATGATTACCCCGATGTACAGATTAATATGTTCCCAGGTATGGTTAAAAGTGATAGTACTGGTTATAATAATTTTCACAGTGGTAGAATAATAAAATTACAAACTTTTAGTTTGTAACTTATATTTATTTTTCATTAACATTTAAAGCATTTGATTATTTATTAATAAATTTACGGTATTTTAATTAATTCATTGAATAGATAATTAAAATTAACAAAAATAAAAATAATTAAAAGTCACCAATGTGAACATTTAACAGACACGCTGGCTACCAACCATGGGCAATTATTCCAGTATTCTGTACAGGGAATGAAACGGCATGTATGGACCACAGTATACAAGCCATACGTCGGTCGGCACACATTTACAGTCGCGCCCAACGTATTGCGCCCTCGAAGTCGGGGTTGGATACGACTGGCCTCCCGGGACCCCCACAGTCCACCTTTAATCGAGCCCAACATATTCGCCGACCCACACGATCTGGACGTATTGGTAGAGGGCATGAAACTAGCTCTAAAAGTAGCTAGCTCACCCACACTACAGCGTTACCATGTCCAACCATTTACTACCGTATTTCCCGGTTGCGAACACACCCTCCCCCTCTACTCGGATCAGTACCTAAGATGTATGGCCAGTATGTATACGACAGCGGACTTGCACCCGGCGGGCACGTGCCGTATGGGTTTGCCCAGTGATCCACGAGCTGTCACAGACTCGACCGGTCGGGTGTTGGGAGTTAAGGGGCTGAGGGTTGTCGACGCGTCTATTATGCCGTCCGTAGTGTCGGGCAATACAAACGCGCCAACGATTATGATGGCCGAGAAGTGTGCCGACCATATCCGGGGCCGCAGATTAAAGCCCTTTAGACCTCCAATGACACCCGATATGATCCTGAGGTTACCTGATTTGCCCTACGAGGACTGGGATGTTGATGGTGTTTTAAAACAAAGTTTTTAGTTTATTGTACAATATAATCTAACTAAATCTATAAATATAATATAATTTAAAATATAAATTAAAATTGTGAACATGTATCAGGCAAGTTTTGGTTTTTTGTTCCTCTCACTGCCGCCCCTCCACGAGAACTCCTTGAGTGGTGAGTCAGTCGAGCCGAGCCAGTCGTCGGTTGTGCCGCAACCGGACTGCAGGTATCGCAGGAAAAAGTTCAGCATAAAGGTCTTGCCTATAGGTGCCCCGAACGGGTCGGTTCAGTCGGATACAAATAATTAACTAATGAATGGTTTTAAAGAATTTAATAATTGTATAATTATGTTGGTCTATATGTAAAATTATAAACACACTTACACCTGGGTTGTCTAGACTTATTTGCAAGTCAAACGCTATAACCAACATTGTTGTAAAAAAGGGATATAATGATATTATAACTAACTTTATATTTAATATTTTACAATATAACAATTTCAAACTGACCTTTACGAAAATCACCTGCATTACTGACCACCATAACGGGTTTATCACGGACTGAGTCGCGCAATAGTATGGACTCGAGTGCATCTAAATCCAGTTTAAAGCGGCGTTAATCACTTACTTTGAGCCCCTGTATGGGCGCTCCGGGGTATCGCTTGTGGGCATTATTAGCTTTGGTGTCATTGTTTGAGGGATTTCTCAATAAAATATACAAATTGGCGTTCGGTTTCATCATATATGAGGTTAGTCTGAGTAAAGTGTGGTACCCGTAGGACTACGGCACTAGTTATATAATTTACTGATTACACTACGATATTACAATACAATATCGCACGTATGTGTTTATTATTAATATGTATGTATGTCTGCGACCCAGACACTTATTTATTACATGTGCACCCTTTTGGTTATCAATATTCTTTAACATAACACTATTTAGCATAAATTATTAGCACAACATTAATTAACTCAATGTTAGTTTACGAACTGTTTACGTCTGTATTAGATATAATAAATAACGCTTTTATCTCCACTATTAATGCTAATAATGTAATAATTAGTTAAAACTTATGGTAACATTGTTTAATAGTATCCATTGTTTTAATCTTTATATAAAGACTTAAAATAAAGTTACAACAACTATGTTATAAACAAGCTATAAATTATGAATCGTAATATATTATAATTAATAATCATTATAATACTCATAATCTTATATAACAAAAAATATTGCACAAAAACTATATCAACAAGAAGTTGTAATATGTCGGTCAAATAATGATAGCTACATGTGTATTAGGTTACTCAAATATCTTGGAAACTATAATAAATAATATAATTCTATAAAACATATATAAGACCCGGATATCTGCAGTATAAAATTAGTAATGCTATTGCTATACACAATGTTAAGTCTATGGGATTCTTTGAGCATCACTCAAATTATGGTTAACCTGTAGCATCGAGTGTGATCTTTTTATATGTAAATATCACTTTAAATTAATTATCGCTAACGTATGCATAAGCTAACATGTATTGTTAGTCTATGGTAAACTTATTGGCACTTGTGACAATTTCTTCTTACAATACTATATTAATTATTTAATTACAATACTAGTTATACAGAATACTAATCTATTATATACTAATTGTTATGGAATACAATACGAATGGCTTACTTTTATATTGCCATTTAAGATGTAACTCTAGTTAATGTTTTACGCCCTAATTAATTGTGATGGTTTTTTTGTTTGTTTATTTGCTTGAAATAATTGTAGTTCTGGTTAGACAATGCATTTTTAAAGTATAAACTTTATATAAATTAATTAGCAATAAAATCACATAAGAAAACATCTGTATATAAATATACAATTATGGTATACGATTTATAAATTAGATATTGTATAAATTCAAGTATTTACATGTATAAATTTTAACGTGAATTATTGCTAAAATATAATACTATGGAAGTAAGTGAGGGATTGGTAACCATTCCGAGTCCATGGGATCGCATTAACATAATCTCAAAACTTACATTCAGGTGATTTATATATAAAAAATTATTTAATTAATTTTATTATTATTACATTAATTACATTTATCATTTAATTAATTATAATGAATTAACATTTAACTGTAATATATAATAATAATAATGTTTACGAATATAAATTATTTTGCATAGTTGGTTGTGGAGTCTATTCATTGAGGCGCACAAAAGGGACCTTAATTTTAGTGATGTCTACCGGTGCCCAAAATCAGATGAGACACATCTAGTCCGACATAAGCTGAAAATGTAACATGAAAATTTTATTTTATTAACGATTAAATTATTACAAATACTGTATAAAGTTTCACATCAATTTTGATAGCAAATGGGACAAACAACTAAAAAGTAAAGGAAAGCCATCGCTATTTTGGGCATTATTGACATCCTTCGGACCCGAACTTATTATGTGTTATATTTCCGATGCGATCAGGGTAATAATTGAATAGATAATAATTATTATACTGAATAAAGTAATTAATTTTCAATCAGTTATTTTTAATTGTGTAACTTTAATCTTTAGGAAGTGGGGCTCAACCTGTTTCAGGCGTATTGTATTGTATATTTGGTGAGATATTTCAACAATGACCCCAACACTAGCCAGTGGTGGGCGCAGTGGGCAGCCGTGGGTATTGTGTTGGCAGCCATTGGAATCATGTTTATTGTAAATTTGAATCAATTTTATAAAATTCAAGTGGGTGTCAGGATCCGGACCGCCTGTTGCGCTCTTATCTACCGCAAGGTCTGTACATATGACATATGAAACATAAAATTAGCATTTATAACATAAAACACTATGTTATCCGTGCTTTCTCCGTTGGCTACTAAAATTTAGCGTTTTTTATTTGTAAAATTCTTTTAATGTGCTAATAATTTCTGGTCACTCTAATTGCGGATTGTGATAACTGTTTTTTTTGTGATAGAATTTTTTTAAATTAACAATACTATTCTGTCTAAATAAAAGTATATTATTTTGCAATATTTATCTATTAATAATTTTTAATTACATTTATAATAAAGTCAATGCGTTTAAGTCACTCATCACTCGGACAGACAACCGTTGGCCAGATATTGAACATCATGTCTAACGATGTCCACAGATTTGATGAGATATTATGTTGTGAATTAAACATTGATTATTAAAATTAAGTAATAATTAATCATGGTGTTATGATTTTGAAAAAATAGTTTGCAGTAATTTCGCGAACATTGTTTACGGCGCCACTGCAGGCGGCGATTGTGTTATACCTGTTGTGGCCATACCTTCGGTGGGCGTGTTTTGCCGGTATGACAGTAATGGTGCTGTTTATACCATTTCAGGCACTGATGTGTCGTTTGTTTAGTAATATACGCCAAAAGACGGCCAAATTAACGGACAGTCGAATCCGTTTAATGCGAGAGATTATTACAGGAATGCGTGTCATAAAGATGTACGCCTGGGAACAGCCCTTCGCACTATTGGTCGCAACCGCTCGCAAGTAATGATATAAAACAGTTTGTCCTCAATATAGTGGACTGCAATACAAAGGAAACAGATTTGTCATGGACTTTGCAATAATTTAATAGAGTTAACATGCAATAATCTGATATGATCAATATTATCGATAGAATTACCATTATTCCCGTAGACTTAACGTTGCCAATATGATTAGCATTAATCCCATAGACTTAACATTACACATAGGTTAGAATTGCCATAGACATAGCATTCCCTATATTATAGTATAGCCATTGACTTATGCCGTAATCATATGTTAATTTCCTATATATTCAAGAATCATATGTTAAAGTATAGCCATAGACTAATATTGTAATCTTATGTTAAATCCCATAGATCCTGGGGCGGGGTGGAGGTAGGGGTAACCGAACGATCCTATAAACTATTTTAATATTATATATTGCTGAATTGTGGTTAAACATATTGTAAAGCTTTATATCAATAATATACTGTACATCAGGTCTGAAGTGAAACAAATCCGATGGTCAAACTTTTTGAAAGGCATTAATCAGTCGATTGATTTTGTGATAATACGAGTTATAATATACGCCTGTTTTCTAACATATGTACTGATGGGTAGGATGTTGTCGGCGGAGACAGCCTTCGCCATTATTGCTTACTTTGATGCCATGCGTATTACTATTGGGACGAATGCACCCCGGGCCGTTGCTGCTCTGGGTGAAATAATTCCAGTAATCAAACGTATGCAGGTATATTATTGTAATAGTAATATGTTGTGATTTATAAAGTTTAATTTTTAATATTTTAACCGTTTATTTAAAATAGGATTTTCTATTACTTGAAGAGATGAGTGGTTTAGATGAGAGGGAAGGGAAAGACAACGAGGCGTTCATTTCGGGGGAAAATGAAATAATTCTCGGAGTAATGGAAAACACTTCGAGTAATGAAGAAAAAGGCGTTTTTATGGACAAAATGAGCGTTCGTTGGAATAATGTATGAATTCTTTGATGTCTTTCAACATGTGTTTAAAGTTTTATGAATACATTAGGAGACGACTGAACCCACGCTTCGGGACATTAGTTTGAGTGTAAAACCCGGACAACTGTTGGGTGTCGTCGGAGCCGTTGGCAGTGGAAAGGTATGGGTTGTCATACATTCATTATATTTATATTATAATTACTATTTATAATTATTATTAATTAAAATTAGAGCTCATTATTAATGGCAATTCTGAACGAGATATCGCTAGTGTCGGGTCGAGTGGTAGTGAGGGGTCGGGTGTCGTACGCGCCGCAGGAGTCGTGGGCTTTCATAGC